GCCCGAAACCAGATTTGGGAATACAGCTCCCAGTCCTGGATGGAGTCAAGTCCAAGGACTGTGTTCACAGTCTGGGGGTACTCCTTGACTCGTTGCTTCACTTGACTAGTCAGGTGAATGCGGCGGTCAGGAATGCCTGTTATCAGCTTCGGTTGATACTCCAGCTGCACCCTTATCTGGATGTGAGGGATCTGGAAGCTGTGGTACACGTCTGGACTACTGCAATGCGCTCTACATGGGGCTACCCTTGTGCCTAACCTGGAAACTACAACTGGTACAAAACATGGCAGCCAGGCTAATTACCAGAACATCAAGGAGGGAGCACATAACACCTGTGCTCAAATCCCTTCACTGGCTGCCGATTAGTTTCCAGGCACAGTACAAGGTTTTGGTTTTGATCTTTAAAGCCCTACATGGATTGGGTCCATCTTATCTTAGGGACCGCCTCTCCCCGTATGATCCCCCTGCGCCCTCCGGTCCTCTGGGAGGAATCTGTTACAGCCATTAAAGACCAGGCTGTCTCAGACCTCCCAGAGGGCCTTTTCTGCTACTGCCCCCAGACTTTAGAATGGCCTGCCAGATGAAATCCGTCTTACTACTACTCTTGCTGCTTTTAAAAAAGCAGTAAAGACGGATCTCTTCCGACAGGCCTTTCCAGAATAACAGCTGTTGTAAGGAGATGAGTTTTTATCTTACCTGGTTGGCACAACTGATTCCTTGTTTTTATTATATTGTTTGAATTGTATTGCTATGTTTTAACTCTTTCTTGGTTTAATTTTGTTTTAAGGTGTGGGAGGGCAGATCATGGGAGGAGGGAATGTTTTTAACTTGGCTTGTTTTAAATGCTGTAACCCACCTCAATTGCTATCCAGACGGGCGGGCTATAAATAAATTATTATTATTATTATTATTATTATTATTATTATTATTATTATTATTATTATTATATTTTTTATTATGTTTAATGTGCGTTATACTTCTTTTAGCCAAGTGCTGCTTATATAGGATATTGTATTTATTTTAAAAAACCTTTTACATAGTAAGAGTCTTTTAATATATTTTTTATTTTTTTTTAAATAAAACCTTTTAAAAAAACCTTTTGTATAGTAAGGTTTAAGGAGCCAGTGTGGTGTATTGGACTATGACTCTAGAGACCAGAGTTTGAATATCAGCTCAGACATGTAAACCCAATGTGTGATCTTGGACAAGTCACATTTTCTCAGCCTCAGAGGATGGCAATAGCAAATCCCCTCTAAAGAAACCTGCCAAGAAAACCCCTTGATAGGTTTACCTTAGGGTCGCCATAAGTCAGAAACAACTTGAAGGCACACAACAACAACAATAGTAAGATTTTAGTTGCATTTTCTTTTAATTTGTTATAATCTGCCTTGAGTTCCATAATGAAAGATAGGATTCAAATTAAATCTTTCAGTCAGTTAATATTTAATTTTGGTCTGAAACCAATTGCTAGCCTCAGCCATGCTGAATAAATGGGAACTTGGCAAATGAGCACTTAGGTAAGTTTCAGTGATTCAGTGGAGCTAACGTAGTTGGAACTAGCTATTGCCATACTCCTCACTAGTCACTACAATCCTAGGAGGGAGATCAAAATGAGAATTTAGACTGTAACAACCATCTTGGAGATGGAGGACAGAGGATTTGAACCCAGGTCTTTCACATCAACATCTGGTGTGCTATCAGATAAAACATCCATACTTTCTTTTGAAATACTGCAGTGTTTTTCATAGAATCATAGAATCATAGAGTTGGAAGAGACCACAAGGCCCATCCAGTCCAACCCCCCTGCCATGCAGGAACTTCCAATCAAAGCACCCCAACAGATGGCCATCCAGCCTCTGCTTAAAGACCTCCAAGGAAGGAGACTCCACTACTCTCTGAGGGAGTGTGTTCCAATGTTGAACCGCCCTTACTGTCAGGTCTTCTTATATAATGTTACATTTTGGAAGGTAAAGCAATGTTACTTTGTTGAACTGCAAAGCTTAAAAGAACTTTGTTCATTTTTAATTCACTTTACTTCTACTTATTTAAGGAAAAAAAAATCCCACTTAACTTTATTAGCATTGTTTAAGCCCGGTACTATTCAGCCAGCAGAACAATACATTCTCATTATGTCAGCTGCAGTTATTATATGCCTGATCATTATTTCAGCTTTAAAAATAATATATATTATAAATTGTCACCTCCGCCCACCTTTCCTTTTCTTTAATGTCAGGCTGACATGTAAAGAAATACATCACCATTGTCTTGGTTAATGCAATCTTGAATCACTTTTTGCAAGAGGTTATGCACTTCTAGAGGCTTTAATTATAATGTGGAAGAGTAGACTTAAAAGGTAAAGAATCACACCCTTTCCTACCGTATATTCCCCCAAAGAGCTTAGCAGGGTGCCTGGGACTAATATTATAATATTATAAAGCTAGCAAAGTTTTTAAGTGAAACCCTTGAGAAAACTGAACAGATCTTGCCTGAATGCAGCCTTTCATTATTCCTTGGATCCTTTCCTCTAATTTTAAATCTGGGTGGGGTGAGAAGGTTAGACATCTTTTGCCAATTATTATGTTTTTTTTCACAAGCCTAACAGTGCTTGACCATTTTTCTTAAAGCCTGTTATAATGACAATGTCCAATTTGGACATTGGACAATTATTTTGTCCAATTTTGATTTTTACTGAGTGAAATATTTCAGCTTGTAGTGCATCCAAGTATTGTTGTGGATCAGTTATGTTTTTTAAAAAAAGACATATTTTCTCTTTTTTTGCAGCTTTGAAAATTAATATAGCACAACAAATGTTTGTGTCTAAATACCCTAAAGGCACCTGATCCTGTCTGATTTTGGAAGCTAAGCAGGGTCAGGCCTGGTTAGTACTTGAATGGGAGACCACCATAAATACTAGGTGCTGTAGGCTATATTTCAGAGGGAAGAAATAGCAAAACCACATCTGAGTATTTTTTGCTTGAGTATTCCTTACCTGAGTATTCAATTCCTAAGAAAACCCTATGAAATTCATGGGGTCGCACTAAGTT